GTTACAAAGAGTCAGACATGACTGAAGTGACTTAGCACGCGTGCAAACCTGTGTGTGAGCAGGATAGAAGCTAGAACACCACGAGGATGTCAGTGGTAGAGTGTATCCTGATTTGCCTTATCAGGTCCAGGCTGCTCTATGGGCTTGAGATGCCCTCAAAGGTATTAGTCTCGAGTGAGTAGATAATACTTCAAGCAGACATATGGAGGGAGGACATAAGAGATGTAGATTCTGAATAATTTCATATTGCTTATAGGGGAACCAACAGACAAAAGCCAAATCAAGAGGAACACCTGTCTTTCCTGCCCTGGTTCCCATGACCACCCCCCGCCCCGCCCCCCGCCCCAGGCTGGGAACAATCTTCTGTTCCTGTTCACATCTTCATGGATGTTGTTAAACTATCATCTTCACCAGGTTTTTGTGTGAGTTAAATAAAATGTTAGCAGTTCTCATAGCACTTTGTTTTCAAGTGCGTGTGTTCTCAGCGGCTTCAGTCATGTCTCTTTGCGACCCCAAGGACTATAGCCCACCAGGCTCCTCTGTCCATGGGATTCTCCAGACAAGAATACTAGAGTGGATTACCATGCCCTCATCCAGGGGATCTTCCTGACCCAGGAGGGATCAAACCCACATCTCCTGCACTAAAGGTGGATTCTTTACCACTGTGCCACTGGGGAAGACTTGTACCCAAGAGTGTCCAACAAATTTCCTTGTCATGTTGGTGCTGGCCAAAAATCCATTCAGGTTTTTCTGTACCAGGCTCTGAATTAGTTATTTCTGAAGCTGCTTATAACCTTCATGGGAGGTCTTTACACTTATCTCCTCCACTTCTGTATGTACATGAAATTTTCCATAATAAAATACTTAAAAAAAAAAGATTGGATCTCAGTGAAGGAGAAACCAGGGTAGTGAAAAAAATATCCTTGAGAAGCAGCTACAGAAGTAAGAGGTTTTTTTCCCCAAAGAAGACCCAAAGATGCTCTGAGCTCTGTAACAATGGAAGGACCTTTTATGCAGGCCAAGACATTAGAAATGAGCCCCTCAACATGGCAAAGCCCGAATTAAGCATCCGGCATCTGAGATATTTCCACAGGTACACATTTATTTGGATTTAGAGAGACAACACATAAAATACTTTGATCATACACAAGTTCATATTTGGTAAGAGGATCAGGTTGTCACATGTTTATAGTTATTTTTTTTATTATTGTTTTCTGTCTTTAGTAATGGAGCGATGCTGGGGAAGTGTCAATATCTTTCAGAAACACCAATGGGGAACAGTATTTCAGCACAGGTAACTAATCAATACACAGCATATGCACTTAGCATTTGAAAACAGGAGGGCGCGTGCAAGATGATACCCACTGCTAGGTTCCTGGGTTCCCTGTTCTGCCGCAATATTTACATCCATGCTTTCTTGGTCCATGTTCTGAGGAGTGGTGTCTACTCCGAATGATGCTAGTAGGGACAGTACCCGCGAGGTTGGCTGCTGGTGACCCTCCTTATTGGTCTCCTGTTCTCAGAGACACTGAAGTTGCATGGTGTGAAATCACACAATTCTCAAAGGAGACTTCTCAGGAGCGAGGGGAGCCAACGGCATTCCCCGTGAGGGCTGAGGTGGAGGGCACAGCACGTAGCAGAGAGCATGGTGCGGATGCAAGTGTGGTTCCCAGAATGTCAGTGCGGCCACCACAGGAAGAGACACGTCAATAACAGGTTGGACAAGCTTCTACAGCGACACATGTTGACTTGCAACACTGCAAATTCAGATCTAAAGTGCACAACCCCAACCTGAGGGGACGAGACAGTACTAGCAGTATATTTAAAGGCAACACAGTTACACACACGATTAACTTCCTTTTCTTTCCTCATGTCCTTGACACAGTCCAGGAAGTCAATACCATTTATGTGTCTCTGATGAAGACATACCACACTTTTTTTTTTCAAGTATTTAAAAATAAGAAACACAATATTGCTGTCTAAATGAAAATGGCCATGTCAAATCAGATTAAAGCTAAAACCCAACTTTTCTAATATTTGTAAAAGAATCAGTTCAGTCCCTCAGTTGTGCCTGACTCTTTGCAACCCTGTGTAAAAGAATGGTCCCACATAAAGGCCTTTGGCACTGGGAATTTGCGCTAAAGTTCAAAACAATCTCCCTTCCTTCCTTCTCTCCTTCCTTCCCTACTTCCCTTCCACTTGAGCAGACTGCAAACCTACTTTAAAGAATGTTTAAACTACTGGGATCTGTCAGACTTTTATTTACCTCCTTCTCTGGGTTATGGTTGGTAGCATTTCACTACATAGAATGGAGCAAGGCTCCCAGCAAACTTGGGAAAGAACCTGGGAAGGACAGGGCGTTAAGGAAATGATCTATTGATAAAAACTCTTTTCTGAAATTTCAAACACAGGCACAAATGTTCCCTTTTAAGTTCAGTCATACCATCAAGTGAAAAAGCAGTCGATTCTGCTAGGGAGTCTGGACCCCTTAGGTAGAAGCTTCTTGGATTAGAGAGGGGTCTGTCCACATTCAAGACATTGGGCTCCATCCTCCAGGCAGGATGGTGGGTTTGATAACTAGCATCTCTGCCTCTGAGATGGGTCCTTTGGACCTGAGGCTCATGATAGCTGGGCAGCTATGTGCTTATTCTCAACAGCCAAATTCTAGAACGCTTGGCCATTAGACAGAGCCTAGAAGGGGAGGCTTACTCCTTCATAAAATTGTGGGGCATAGGGGTTTTTTTCTAATAGTCATACACACATACATGCTAAGTTGCCTCAGTCATGTCTGACTCTGTGCAACCCTATGGACCGTAGCCAGTCAGGTTCCTCTGGATTCTCCAGGCAAGAATACTAGAGTGAGTTGCCGTTTCCTTCTCCAGGAGATCTTCCTGACTCAGGGATCGAACCTATGTCCCTTATGTCTCCCGCATTGGCAGGCAGGTTCTTTACCACTAGCGCCACCTAGGAAGTCTAATAGGCATAGGAAATCCATTTGCTTCTTAGAGGAACCAAAGCCAAGTGCATCTCAAGTATCAATGTTTCTGTATCCGACCTAGGGGAGAGATGTAGGGGCAAGCTCATGAAGCTTGCAGGTGGTTGGATCCTATGGTCAAGTGAGAGGGTTTTGCTACAGGATGAAGGATGGGGTCCTCTTCCCTCCCTCATATACCTACAGTCTTTTTGATCACGGATCTGAGAGGTCCATACAGAAAGGATGAATGCTCCTAAACGTGCATCCACAGTCTGCATATATGTGGATACATATGCAGGACATGTAGTCCTCCTCTAGCACTTGGAATCTAACAGTCTGTACCCCATAAATACCTATGAGAGCTCTTGTTAGCTCCTGTCTCTCCATCAGGTTTGCAGGGGCAGAAGGATGCTTTTAGAGTATTATTTTGAATTCTATGGAGCATATGTCCTCTCTATATTCCAGTCACTTTGATCTTAATGGGACACAGAAGATAGAAGAAGGGTCTTAGATGCTGTCTCAAAATCCTGGGTAACGGGACTTCCCTGGTGGTCCAGTGACTAAAACTCCAAGCTCCTACGGCAGAGGGCTTGATCCCTGGTCAGGGAACTAGATCCCGCATGCCACAACTAAGAGTTCACATGCCGCAACTAAAGATCATGCGAGGCACAACTAAGACCTGGCACGGCCAAATAAATACATAAATATATAAAATTTTAAAAAAAGTCTTGGGTGAGGAGCTCATTTCCTCATAACCCCTCATGAAGTAGAAATTAATTATTTGGGGTTCCCAGAGATGGGGAACTCAGCAGGAAGGACTTCTGTGGGTCGGAATGGAAAGGAATCGGAATAAAGCAATGACCTGGGAGGGAAATAACTCCTCCCTGGACAGGCCATGTGGCCTCCAGGATGACATCACTATTCTCACAGAGACACTGAAGGCCAAGTGTAATTTTCTGGGCTCACCACATCTGGAGTGTGTCTCATTCCTCTTTGCTCTGGCTGATTAGATTTTATTTTCTCTAAGGAATCCAAATGACTTCGTAAGAGAATGCTGTCCGGGAAGACAGCACAAGAACCAGCATTCACCTTCTGTTTAGAACAGGCTGAACGGAAATAAGAATAGAGACGATTACCCTCATTAGTCTAAGATGAAGCCCAGTTGTCAGACCTACAGTGCAGGTCTGCTAAGGTCCAATGGGTGAAAAACCGAAAAGGGAACAGAATCTTACTGTCGAGCTGACAATCACTTTTTAAAGAAACTTCAGTATTCTTTTGTGTTTGTTTTGTAAGAGCCCGAACAGAAAGAAGGCGTCATACTGTTAAAGAATTTTGTGGGTCTATGTTCCTAAATAACTTTGCTAAGTGTTTAATTGTGCCTCCATTCAAAGAAAGAGAAAAAAAAAATCTGGCTTAGTTTTTATATCTGCCCCTGCAGTTTGTATAACCCATATAAAATAAAAATCTATATGTTACAAAATAGGATTTCTTTTTAATATATATATTTTCCTTTTGTAAAATTATATGTATTTAAATACACTTGATATGTTACTATAGGTAAATTAGAAATTTTTTTTCTAATACTATGAAAAAGGCAAGAGTTTTTTTTTTTTTATTGTCAACATATATTTTATATTCACTTTATCCTTTTCACTGTACCCCAGAGAACCTTTTATGATTCAGGGGCAATTTGGCACTATTCAACCCTACTACTCTGACTTGAAAATAAAGTTTGATTTGCACACTATATTAAAAGTAAGGGAAGTATTTATAACAATTGTAAGCTTTTCCTTATCGATTAGAACACAGCCTTTTGTCACTAATTATTACAGAGGTGTTCTAAACTTAAGAAACAATTTTTGAAAGGAATAATGTTTGTTAGTTTTTGATTTTTAAACTGTACTATACTTTGACACCACGATATAGAAATAGATTTACTTTGGAACAAACTACAAATACATTTACATGGTTTGTGACAACTTAATTGTCTACCTAGAGAATTCAAATGGCTTAGTGAGCTAGGTTATTATAAATCTTGTCCAAGGCGTTCTATTTCTTCAATCAGGAAGTCAATGTCTTGGTGAGTTGCTGCGGGGTTTGAGATGACCATGCGGAAGAAGTTGACCTTGTCGCCCAAGGGCTGGTAGCTCACCATTGTGGTCCCATACTCCATCATCCTGGCTTTAATCACTGGAGCCACCTGTGGGAGAGACGAGACCACTGCAATGACTGCTTCTCCCAGGGATTCTTCCTGTTATCAAAGAATCCAGTGCCAAGTACCATTTTGAGTATTTAACTGAACCATATCTGTTTTCCCTTAAAAGAACTGCTCCCACTTTTTATGAGAACAGAGGGCTAGAACAGATTAATACATCCAAGATCTCAAAGGTGCTGAAAGGAGTAATCAGTGGTGGGCTATCAGGAGCTTGCACCTTATCTTTGACTTTCTACTTAGTATTTTGTGGCAACAGGAAGAAGCTAATGTTGGTTCCAAGGATAAAGAGTTTAGAAATACAACATTTGGGGAACTTTTTAATCCTTCAGTAAATATAAAGTCATTGGAAGTAAGACAAAATTCAGAGACTGGGTACGAAGATGTAAGCCTCACTATCAAGTGATATGTGAAAATAAGTAGATTTTTGAGATCTTAAAGCTATTTTCATTCTTGAGATCCTAAAGCTCCCTAGTTTCTTTTCTAAACTTTTTGTTTTATATTAGAGTATAGCCTATTAACAATGTTGTGACAGTTTGAAATGGACAGCAAAGGGACTCAGCCATACAGATACATATATCCATTCTCCCCAAAACTCCCCTTCCATCCAGGCTGCCGCATAACATTGAGTAGAGTTCTCTGTGCTATACAGTTGGTGATTATCCATTTTAAATACAGCAGTGTGTGTCTCTCCATCCCAAACTATCCTATCCCCCCATCTTTCCCCCTGGCAACCACAGGTTCCTTCTGTAAGTCTGTGAGTCTGTATCTGTTTTGTAAATAAGTTCATTTGTATAATTTCTTTTTAGATTCCTCAGTTCATAAGGTGATTTGAAATATATTTGCTAATAGTGATGAAGAATCAGCTGAGGCAAAAAGCTGCACCCACAAGGATTTAACATTATGGAGCTGGATCACAGATAAGATTTTACCACATTTATGCCCGATGGATAATTACAGCCCATGGTCCTCTATTGTGTATGAAATTAAGTTAAAATGCTTCAGTTCAGCACAAATGCCTTTTTGTCACCAGTTCTGAGGACTCAGCTCCCAGGGCTCACCCAAATGAATCTGCAACTCTGACAAGACCTCCTTATTCCATATCCCTTGGATGTACTGCACATATTGTTATCCCTTCACATCGTCCTCAGTCTCACCATGTCACATTTGTTCTCTCTGCTTAGAATCCCTTCTCTTCCAGTTTGCATCCTACAAAGCCTCCAAGGCTCCACAACAGCCCTACACCCATGAGGAAGCCTTTCCTGACTTCTGTAGTCCACTAGCATATTTTCTCTAAGTTGTAAGTACATGATCCTTAGCCACAGAGTCTGTCTATATTCTAATCCCTATCATCCCCTCACTTATGAGAAAATAAACCTGATCTTTGTACCCACTGTAAGCTCCTGGAGGGCAAGGATGGGGTCTTTCACTTCTTGTATCAGCACAGCGCTGTTCGCACACGGAGGGCTCCCTGAGTCTTTATTGACTGTAAAGACTGGCATAAGAGGAACGGCTCCCAGGGTGAGGCATATATTTTAAATTATGTCCAACTGTATGCAGGACCTGTCCACATATTTTACCACTGGAGTTTGTAAATATAACATTGATCTTTTCAGTTCATGGCTGTAAATATGTAACCAGGGATGTAGATATCAGGGAAGCTTTGGGCTTATGCCAGATCTTTATAGTCGGCAACTCAGTTCAGTATGGGAACCATGCCCTCTATCCCAGTTGTATTTGTCTTACATGAAGGATAGATTCAAAGGGAATGGAGTTATGAACATGTGATTTTTGAATATCAACACTTACGTGACCGCTGGTTTACAACGAGGTTTTACTCCTCAAAGAACTCAACGTGAACAACCTACATGGCTCCTCACGAGGATCAGCAGCAGTTTTGTTTTCTACCCATTTCTGGGGCCTGGAGTTCTTTCACATTTGTAATTGAGCACCAGTTTCTCTTGGCAGATCAGCAATTTCAGCTGATTCCCGCTGAGTTATGAAGCCAGGAAAGGTATGACCTAGTGCTTATTTTCAGCCTTCATAAACATGCTCTCAGAACACAGAAGCAGTTGAGTTGTTAAAAGTCTGGACAGACCAGTTCTGTGTGTCCTGGTTCTACAGGAAGCCACAGAGGGCAGGGGAGCCGTGACCACGGCTGAAGATAGATGTTCCCTAAAGACATGCACATCTGTCGTAAGGATGATATGGACATGAAAGGACACTGAGGTCCAGATCAGAGGAGCGCGAGTCCTTACCTTGGACAGGCGGCTCAGTCTCTCTTCATTGTTGTCCAGGACACGCAAGCTCGGAGGTACGTACCAGAAGCAGACGTTGGTGTGCTGAGGCTACAGAGAGGAAAGTTAAATTCATGCTCAGTTCAAACAAACAAGTTTGAAAATTCCAAGGACATTTCAAATCTGTTCTGCAGCTTCTAGATACAATCCTGCTTTTAAAGCTCTAATCACCATTGAACTGCCTGACTTTCACACCATTATACAGTATATGTGTGTGTGTGTGAGAGAGAGTTGGATTTATACTTCCATTCTAAATGGTTACCCCCTCCCCACTGCTTCTCCTTTGTCATGGTCTCACTTACTTCGACAGTATATTCTTAGCTTCAAAAAATATCAGTGAGAAGAATTGGAATGGGGACTTCCCTGGTGTCCCCATTAGGACTTCCCTAAGACTTTGTGCTCCCAAAGCAGGGGTCCCAGGTTCAATCCCTGGGGGAACTAGATCCCACATGCTGCAACTAAGACCTGGTGCAACCAAATAAATACATAAATAAAATATTTTAAAAGCCACAAAGAGTTAGAATGGACTAAACTTTGGTGGGGGGGTGCGCTGTAGAAATCAAAATACATACCTTTCCATCAAACACCATTTCATAACCTTCTCGGTTTTTGATGATATTGTATAAATACTCCGCCAGCTCCAAACACTTATCAATATGTGCTTCAAACCCGGTGGTCCCCTATGTGAGAGAAGAAGAGAGCTTAGCAGTCAAGCTGAGGAAGGTGGGCGAGCTCTCAGGTGAGATGGAGGGACGCATCCCTCTGGACACTGGTGGTCTTTTGGGCCCTGTGGCCTCTGCTCTGCGCCGGAACTTTGCTTACACAAGACCGTGTGTCTAGAGGCTTTTCTGGCAATTAGTCCTCCTTTCATGCTCTCCACATCAGATGCTTCTGTTCCCTTTCATGTCGTCACAGCTCTCCACGGCAGAATCCCTTTCTTTCAGTGCTTCTATTCCCCAGCCAATTATTTTGATTACTCGAGGGGAAAATTTGCCACTGCCACTCAGAGGAGTAATTATGGAAGTCATTAATGACAGGAGGGCTGGCTATTCCTTTCCTGCAGATTAAAAGCATCATCAGAGACCACCCCTCCCCCTTCTGGATGTCTGCTGAGTCCCTGCCCATCAGGTAAATTTGCCATTTCCAGATCCCACTTTTGTTCACCAATGTACCCCCATTATAGAACAGATAGGGTAGGGGCTCAATGAATATGTGCTGGACAAAAGAATTACTGACTCTGAGAGGCACACAGATGCTCTATTAGCCTGTCATTTTGCAAAGCTTATTAGATTTCTCCTTTGGGGATAAATGGGGTGTCCCTGGTGGCTCAGGTGGTAAAAAAAAATCTGCCTGCAATGAGGAAGGCCTGGGTTTGATCCCAGAGTCGGGAAGATCCCCTGGAGAAGGGAATGGCTATCCACTCCAGTATTCTTGCCTGAAAAATCCCCTGGACAGAGGAGCCTGGTGGGCTACAGTCCATGGAGTCTCAAAGAGTCGGACATGACTGAGCAACTAACACTTGGGGATAGATGACTCCTATGTCTGTAATAGGTGAACATTACCACAGAGGTCTTTCACTTTCCAGCTGTTGGAAGCCCAGGATCTGGACTTGTGAAAAACAACACGGCGGCCTTGAACTGCAACTATTTCACTGACAACGGGACGCACTAGGGCAGCGGTCCCCAACATTTTTGGCACCGTTTCGTGGAAGACAATTTTCCACAGACTGGGGGTGGGGAGAAGGCTTCAGAATGATTCAGGCACATAACATTTACTGTGCACTCTATTTCTATTATTATTACATCAGCTCTACCTCAGATCATCAGTTATCAGATCCTGGAGGTTGGGGACCCCAACACCAGGGAGTTACTTTTCACACGGCTTTACTCCTAACTCCACTGGTATGTGTGGAGTACTACAGGAAAGCTTAGAGAAACAGTGAATGCTCATCCCAGGAACTCTGAGAACAGACCTACCAGTGACTAATCCAACCTGAAATCCAGAGGAAGTAATAATGGAGATAAGAGGGGCCCACTTTCCTGTTAACAGACAGTCTCATCATGTCATCTAAAAGGGGGACCTGGCAGAATGATGACTTGTAACATCTGAAACATTTTTAAGAGTAAGCTGCATTTAAGAGAGCTGATGGGTTCAGAAATCCATTTCTTTAGGGACTGCCACTCTTGCTAACTGGTTCCTGTGACTCCAAGTATCCACCTGATGCCTGGACACCCAGGCCATCACCCATGTGCTCAATGAGTCTGTGGGTGCCAAGGATTTACCATTGGTTTGGACCAGACAGGCAGTTTGGGTCCACTTGGATGGACGTTAGATAAGAGGGAGGAGAGTTTACTGTTAGCCAAACTGGATCCTTGGGACCAGTCTAGCATTGGATTTCACCTTGCAGGAACCTGATCCAGGATCTGTTCAGGACCACTATGACTCTGACCCTGTCCAGCCGTATGGCCTTGGCTAACTTTTCTGGTCACATGGGAATGATGGTGCCTGTGCGGTTTCCCACACAGAGACATAGTGAGGTGAAATGAATGCTCTGAAAATGAGTGTGATTGTACCGTAAAGCGAGTGGGGTTACCATGACAGGATGGGAGTTCTCTAGCCCTGCTAGTCTGGGAGTCCAGTCTGGCTAAGCTCAGGAATAATCCATCTGCCCCCTTGAGATGAAGGCTGAAGAGACTCTGATGTGCCTGTAAAAGTCTGGGGCTCCTCCTTTCAAACTGGGTATTCATGAGATTAAGATTCATATTTTATTTTAAAGGTTTTGTAGGTTTTTAGGAGATTCTCCAAAATTCATTCTATTAATATCAAATGCTTATTGACTCATTATAGGCAATACAGCTCTTATTGTGAGAATGATAAAGGCATCTATAAAGCCTTATCAGGCAATGCCTCTCTATGACCCGAATCACTGGGAAGGAAGCTGAAATCTCAGACGACCACTTCTGGGTGGACAGCAGGTTCCCAGAGTCAGGGCTACACTGAAAGAGGTTCAGGAGAAAGATGTTTTATCTTATCCCTCATCCTTACACACTCAGAATAGGTTTGGATGGACCCACTCAGGACCTCTTACTTCTCATCTGAATGGTAACATCCTAATTATTCTTCAGTCAATGGAGATGCTCCACTAGCTCAGGATATGCCCTTCAGCCCCTGCCTGCCCATCTTCCTGGGATGTCCCTTCTCCCAGCTCTGCCGGCTGAGGTCTTACCTATTCTATCCTTCCTGTTCACAATCAGTCTCAAAGGTCAGTTCTTGATGAATCATTCTTGGCTCTCAAACTAGGACTGAGCTCTTCATTCTTTAACTCTTCAAGGTGTGTCTGTGTTTCTTTTATAACCAGTTGTGTTCTATTTTTTTAAAAATGTTTATTGGAGTATATGCTGTGTTGTGCTTAGTCACTCAGTCATGTCCAACTTTGCAACCCCATGAGGCTCCTCTGTCCATGGGGAGTCTCTAGGCAAGAATACTGGAGTGGGTTGCCATGCCCTCCTCCAGGGGATCTTCCCAACCCAGGGGTCGAACCCAGGTCTCCCGCATTGCAGGCGGATTCTTTGCCATCTGAGCCACTAGGGAAGCCCTTATTGAAGTACAGCTGATTTATAATGCTGTGCTAATTGCACGTGTACAGCTAAGTGACTCAATTGTGTGCTATTGTTTAGTTGCTAAGTCGTGTCAGATTCTTTTGCGACCCCATGACCTGTAGCCCGCCAGGCTCCTCTGTTATTGGGATTTCCCAGGCCAGAACACTGGAGTGGGTAGCCATTCCTTTCTCCAAGGGATCTTCCTAACTGAAAGGTTGAATCCAGGTCTTCCAAAGTGGCAGGCAGATTCTTCACCAGAGTCATCAGTTACACATATACATGTATCCACTTTCATTTTTAAGATTCTTTTCCTATATAGTCCGTTACAGAGAATTGAGTACTATGCTGTACAATAGGTTCTTATTAGTTATCTGTTTTATATATAATAGTATGTCAATCCCCATCTCCTAGTTGGTGTTCTGTCATTTGTGAGGGTCATTGTTGAATTTCTCTTTCCTGCCTGGAAACTGTAGCCCCTGATCTCATCCAGCAACAGACAATCAGTAGCCACTTATGAAAAAAATTAACATTTTAGAGAGAAAGGGAACATTCACTCACTCAGTAAGGAGTGCAGGACATCCATTTCCCTTTAATAGTTTCTCCTGGTTTCTTTTTTACCTCAGCCATTTGCCAGTCCCACTGTTATCTACACTTTAATTATGGAGGTCAATCAGAAAATTATAAGAAAATCTGCCAATCTGCATAATCATATACAAACATCAAGATTTACAGTAAAAACTCAGCAGTTACATATTAAGCCATCACTGCAAGCCTAAAAAAAGGGACTCCTTTTGAGGTTTTTTCTTTTTTTCTGTCTACACAGAGTTTTAACCGAGGTAATCTGTCAAGATGAAAAATAATCAAGTTCTAGGATTCTCTAATAAAATGCTCTAACAAAAGAAAATAGACAAAATAAAAGGTTTACCCAATAAGAACAGAGTTGAAGACAGACACAGTGTCTTTGCCAGTGAAAAGCTTACAAATCATGTCACCATCCAGAGTACCTTCTAGCATTCCACATCAAGAGGCTCAATTTTTTTCTTTTTTGTATTAATTTGCTCCCATAAAGTTGTCTTGGATTGAATATGACAATTGTCTTCAGTGCATTTAGCTCCATTTGTTATTAACAGGTGAAAGAACAGGAATATATACTTAGATTACTATTTTCCCCTGGCTTGTCTTACTAAGGAGAAAATGTGGATTCACTGGAGCATTGTATTCTCCAGGTGTATCTGATAACAGAGGGTTTGCAGATTAATGTCACATTCCTTCTCTTCCTCTTCATTATTGTTTTTGCAAATGCAAAACAGAATGACATGGCCAACTCTCTGGTGGTTCTTCTTAGGGAGAGTGACTTCTCCTGCCCTGGCTGGCGTTATGACAGAGTTAGGCATATCGGAGCATGCTTACCCTTGATCTTGGTTGTAGGACTGAGATTATTACTTTAATAGTTATTATTTCATTAAAAAAAAACACAACTTTAAGTTGAAAGTCAAATGGATGTTTTTATCATTTAGATGTCTAGATACTTAGGGCTTTGTGTAAGGAATTAAAAAAATAGATGCCCCTGTCTTCTAAGTAATTCAAGTTCTTTTTTGAAGTTCTTTACTATAGTCTCTTTCTGCATTTTACACAGAAACAATATGCTGGCTTTCATTAATTATAAAGAGTTATCCAGATGTCTTCATTTCTGTTCACATCTTACATATGATGTTAGAAAATGAGTTATTCCTTTACACAAATATAATGTACAAGAACTAATGAAGCTATTTTAAATTCTGGATGATGATAATAAACTAATTTTCAATGCAAAATGTATGTGTCCATAAGTTAACACAGCCACTGTGATCTCTCTCTCTCTCTCTTTTTATACCCTCTTCTGGTGTCTGTATCTCAGCCCTTTATAAACTGGATCCTCTGCCTTTATTTCAAGCTTCATTGGTCCTGCTGTTGAGCTCACACCTGATGTCTTCCGTGTGATTTCTCTGAGAACCAGCCGGCTGCACCAAGTTGGCAGGGAGGCTTCCAATGGAAAAGAAGCAGCAGGATCCGATGAACCATGTCAGATACATTTTTGTGTAAATATAGCTAATGATCATGATCTTAGTAAAAACACCAGGGGAATAAGAGACAAAAAGAGGGACACTGAACAATATTTAGAGACCAAGTTTTCCTCAACTTCCTAGCTGGTGTTTACCTCTGTCATTTTATCATTCCCTCCAATCAAGGACATGAAACGCTGGCTCATTTGAAAACAGCCTGAGAGTACACCAATAAGTCTACATTCTTGATGGATTTATTATTGCCAAATGGTAGTGTCATTGCCAACAGTGGGGACCAGATACCTGTCCTTGTCAGGCACTCAACTTTCAAAAGAGGAAGGAGTCCCCTGCCCAGCTCAAGGGATTTGAGCCCACTCATCACACAGCTTTATGGGGCAATAAGTCACCTTGGGCCTCACTCCAGGTAGCTGTCTTGTACTTAGCAATACTTAAACAAAACTCAATCAGGCCAAATAACATGATGGAGGTTTGCTTGAAGACCATGTAGTCCAGCCATCCCTGGAAACCAGCTAAGAATTTTTGTGCATTAGGCAAGACCATCTTTCTAGTTAAACTGCCTTTTTCCATGATGGGTTTAAAGAAGATTCCATACAATATTAAGTTGGTCAAAAAGTTAGTTTGAATTTTTCCATCAGATGTTATAAAAAAGCCTGAATGAACTTTTTGGCCAACCCAATAGATGTCGACTGTTTCACTCCTAAGTCCCCTCTTTTTCTTATTAGCCATCTGCCTGTTGGAACTGTTTAAGGAAATTCAGTTTGCTTAAACACCAGCATATGGACTGGGTATTGTGGACCTGGTCCATAGCTCTTTCTATAGACCTGACGAAGGAGCCAATCTGTGGTCTCATCCAGCTGACCAAATCATTTGCTTATTTCTGTGGGGCTGACCTGTCACCTCCTTGTGTAGGATACTTAGAAATCTGAAAGCCAGATGTCCTTGGGGGTCCAATGGTTAAGAATCCACCTGCCAATGCACAGGACATGGGTTCTATTCGTGGTCGGGGAAGATCCCACATGCCTCAGGGCAACTAAGCCTGTATGCAACGTGACTACTGAAATCCATTAGCCCTAGAGCCCATGCTCTGCAATGAGAGAAGCCATTGCAATGAGAAGCCTGCGCACTGCAACTAGAGGATAGTCCCTGCTCACTGCAACTAGAGAAGCCCCACGCACAGAAACAAAAACCCAGCACAGTCTAAATAAACATATAAAATAACCAAATATTACAAAAAAGAAAGAAAGAAAGCTGAGAGTCAAATTCGTGGACCATTTACCAAACACACTGGACCTAGGTCTCACCAGCTTCCCTCTCATCTCTCCCTCTGTCACGTTTCCCTCACAAACTCTTTTAACAGTTGGACTTTTCTAGCAGTTGGGTTTTTCCAGCATGTCCCTACTGGCTGTAGCCATTGCCTCCTGTGGGAGATAAATGAAACCAGGTGGAAAGTCACCGAGCTGTGACATTTAAGTTAGGAATCTGGCCAAAGTGAAAAATAAAATCTTTGACCTTCCCAGCCTGCTTACATTTACCCACACATGTGTGCTCTTGGAAGCTATAATTAGGTCCAGCCAGTAGCACACAACATTAGCTACAGAGTTCCATGTCTGAGAGAGGGGTGATCATCCATAGTTAAATTTTGAGGTGAATAGAGAAACCAAACTAAAGGAGGTCACTAGGAAGTTCCAGGGCTTTTGAAAAAAGCTTTATAACTAGAGGTTACTCTATGAAATGACAGAAACAAGATATCATGCTGATTTTTTCCTTTTCTTTTTTGTTCTCCAAACAAAAAGTCTACATTTAACCTACCCAAATGATCAATCACTGGGTAAAAACCAAGAGTTGGGACAAGAACAATAGTGAAACACCTCTTAGGAATCCAGAGATTCTGCTGTATAAAGCAATATGGATTGGTTTTTTAGATAAATGAGCATTAGAAGCAATTTGGCTTAAACAAAAAACAAACAAAAACAAAACAGATTTCTTATATTTCTGCCCATGTAGAATGCAGATTAACTAGATCTAAGATTCAGGAAATTTAGTCTTGAGTAAATAATTTTCAATTTGGAAGTCAATTTTTGACATGTCCTAACAAGGGTCACTAGATACAGCCTCTGTTTTTAGTTGCCATTCAGCCAATGCTGGGGTGCTCACCTTTGCCCTCCACATTAGCCAGAGTTTAAAAACATCAACGTGGCGTCCGCACTGTAAGGCCTTGTCTCCAGTGTCGTAGGACAGGTCATAGTGTTTATCTTGTTGGAAGAGGTAGGAGGCATGCATCTGGTTGCAACTCTGCATCAATCCCTAGAAGAAAAGAGAAAACCTAGGAAACTCTGTGCTTAGTCGCGCTCAATCATGTCTAACTCTTTGTGACTCCATAGACTGTAGCCGGCCAGGCTCCTCTGTCCTTGGGATTCTCCCGGCAAGAATACTGGAGTGGGTTGCCATGCCATCCTCCAGGGGATCTTTCTGACCCAGGTTTCCCGCATTGCAGGCAGAATTTTTACCATCTGAGTCACCTGGGAAGCCCTGACTTTATAATGTGTTCTATTGGGTTTACGTTGTGATGGAAATTATTAAGAAAAATATATAAGAAAGAGGAGCTGAATATCCTGGAGAAAGAAAACAGTAAGAATCAAATGAGAAAAAAAGTGAGACAAGTATCTGAGCAAGATAAACTGTTGCGATAGGTCAGTTATATGGGAAAAAATGGCTTAGGGTCAGCTATTACCAGAGGTTAACATCAGGGCATATTTATACTTTTATTCTCCTTTTTAAGAGAAGGCATATATATTTTTTTTCAATGTGTTGATTACTTCTGCTTAAGCTTCACAATACCCTTTGTTGTGGCTGGTTATTAATAATTCCCATCTTATAGATGAGACCAAACATCAAAAACTTTTTTTTTAATTTTAATTTTTTTCCATTTATTTTTATTAGTTGGAGGCTAATTACTTTACAATATTCTAGTGGTTTTTGCCATACATTGACATGAATCAGCCATGGATATAAGCTGCTCTGTAGCTTTTACCTAGAAATGGAACAGTTGGAATGTAAATCCAGTTCAGGTGAATTTCAGTGAGAAGGCATTTTTTTAAAAAAATCACAGTCAGCATATAATGTTCATTGGGAGGATGTCCCGATGTTCTGGTTTTGCTGTAATCAAACTATTTTGAAAATTCTTTGGTTTTCAAAATATCATTAGTGGATTCTCCTACTGTTTCATTCATATTAAGTTCAAGTACTTTACCATTTAGCTGTAAGTGTTTGAGTTCTTTATGGTAATCATAGTTTATAGGACAATTCATTGTGGTGGTGGTTTAGTCAAGTCGTATCCGACTCTTTGCAACCCCAGGGACTGTAGCCCATCAGGCTCCTCTGTCCATGGGATTTCCCAGGCAAGAATACTGGAGTGTGTTGCCATTTCCTCTTTCAGGGGATCTTCCCAACCCAGGAGTGGAACTCCGATCACCTGCTTGGCAGGAGGATTCCTTATCACTGAGTCACCTAGGAAACCCAATACAATTCACTGCTATTATCTTAAGATGCTAAAATCTAAAAAATAAAGACATTGGTACTCTGAGGTCTTCAAAATAGTGAATCTTTAAGATGTCATGCTCCTCTCTCAAGAGGGGTTAGAGTTTGGGCACTGTGTTTTCATGCTCACTTGCTTATGGTAGTTAGAATGGAAAGTTTCATTCTCAATGACCATTAATTTACCCTGGCACCACAAGCTAACTATGGAAAATGGGTGGCAAAGTGATTGAACTATTCCAAAGACCAGTGAATGAATCATGTTCTCTGACTAAAACAGCATCGTCAGCCACTTCACCACATTGCAATTTGTCACAAACCACAGGAAGTCTTTGACGCTTTGGTTATCTACAGTGTAACTGCAATTTTACAGAAGTTTTGGCATTGACTTTTCCCCTTTGTGACTCATGACAAGAGAAGAAAAGACTAAACTGTGATCACTTGGTTGAAGTTAGAAGTGAGAGCCCCTTTTGAAAGTACTCCAAACTAAAACAAAATGCAGCTAAAATTTGATCTAGATCCTGAAAGACCAGAGTAGGGGACCAGATGATAATAACAGATTTGGGCTCAGTCTTGTAGTCTGGACATCATATTCAGTAGAATTCATTAAGTTATTTGTTTGAGAGTGGGAGAAATTCAGTACAATGTAATTATAATAGAACAGTAGAATGACATTGAATTGGACCCGAAAACCAGTAAGACTAAAAACTGCAGTAGGTGCATCTATTTTGTTTCATGGTCATAGAAACTTGGCCCCATTTTTCCCCCAGCCACGCAGCTCATGACTAGGTGCCATCAATCCTAAGGGAGGCCACCCAGGGAGTGTGGAATGATGGATAAACCAGACCAGCTTCTACTGGGATAGGAAAAGCAACTCAGAGCACATGACCTCTAAAAGGTGAGACAACACCAATCTCCTTGTACAAAAAGACAAGTAGAAGTCACATAAAAAGGTGAGATCATATCCTGATTCTGAGCCACGACATTCCAAACTTTAAAATACATGAATAGCTGCTGGCTGTAAAAGAGTTGCTGTCAAAAAAATTCCCCTGATCAAGTAAACTTCAGAAACCGCCATAAATATATATTCTTTCAGATATTTATTATATATCAGCAATAAAAGGCTAAGATACTCCCTGAAATTATGAAACTTGTTTTCAACTCTTTAAGCTAATATATTCCAAGTTTTTTTGAAACCAAGAACTCTCTTATCACAGAATATCATCTGATAGCATGGTATTATTCCTTGGACCTCTATAAAAGAAATTTTATGAACTCTTGGGTTTCAAAGGGATCCGAGAGCTGTTCATCTATTGCTTCCCCCTTCTTCTTTGGTCATGCCACGAGGCATGTGCAACCCTAGTTTCAAGAAATTGAAACCTTGCCCCTTGCAGTGGAAGTGTGGAGTCTTAACCCTGGACCTTCAGGCCAGTCCCTATTCCTGCTCCTTCTATCTTTCCATCCTCTTTCTAACAAGTGCTTGTCCAATCTCCATTCAGTCAGCTCCCCTGATGATGAATTTATTCCTACCTAAATCATTCATTACCTGTTGGGCAGCTTAATTTTTAGAAAAGCATTCCTTTCATTGACCCCAAGTCAGACTTCAAATCATGGTTATTGTGATTTTGTCATCAAAGCCATACCATCCAATGTGACTAACCCAGGTTCCTGAAGCCTCAAATAAAAAACAAATCTCTCCAACCTGAGTCATTTATGTTGTAAAGGCTGCCTTCCTCTCAGTCCTTTAAGTTAAACCTTTTTTAGATTAGATTAAACATCTTTAGTTCTTTCAACTACCTCTGTTCATGTTGATTAATGTCCCTCACTATTGGAGGTCTTGCTTGATGGGGTCTCCTATACAATTAGACGCTAACCTGAGCAAACCACTCCAAGTGTGGTTTAACCAGAGGCCAGTGGGGGACTGCCACCTCCCTCACCCTGAAGCTCCACTTCTTTCAATCCCATGACTAATTTTTGAATGGTATTTCTCTCTTTACCCACTGTTGACCCTGCATCAGAGTACAACCTAATGTCCTATGCCTTTCCCACAAGCACAACAATTCAGCCATGCATGGAACATGCCTGCCTCATCTAGTCAGAATATAACCATCCTATATTTGGACATAAGAGCAGGGCCTTACAGCTATCCTCATTCACAATTTCCCCTACTGTGGATGTGGCTCACTGTCCCATCATCTTAATTTTGTCACTACATACATCACTCTATCCAACCCCAACTACGGATGTGGCCACGAGTGAGGAAAGACATACCTCTTCTCTAACCAGGAGAGCAGAGCACTGCAAAGGAACGCCCATCATCTTATGTGGATTCCAGGTCACAGAGTTGGCCCTAAAGGAAACAAATCAGGTTAAGAGGGTGGCATCCATGACAGGCTCAGACGACCCCTTGTGAGGGGCAACAGGGCTCAGGGTTCCTGGCACTGTTTCTCAGACTTCAACATGACGTTAACTTACAAAACAAGAGGGGGACCCTTCAAAATCTACAACCTTTCCTTCGTCTACAAAGAGAGCAGGCGAAGGCTGGTCTCTCCCTTCAGCTCCATGGTGGTCTGAGAGCTCTGAGTGTCTGCGATCGGCCCGTTCAGGGTCCCTCCTTTGGCCACCACAGAGCAGGGCACCAGGGGGTCCCCCATGCCTTCAGTGTTCCCGCCTCTGACCCAACGGTAGTGCCCTGGAGCTCAGAGCAGTGGCTCATTCCGCTGCTGAATTCTGTACTTTTCCCAGTCTAGTTCCTCCTTTCCATTCAATGGATGACTAAATGTTTCAAATGTGTTCTTTTACAACAGCTAGCTCATACCCTGCTTCCATCTCTTCTCTCATCCAGAGATATCCTTTTGGACCACAGAGAAGATACACTGTGGCTCCCATGGCAGCTTTTAGCCTATTTGTCCCAATATCCTTGGTAAGCAGCATACTCTCTCACCAGTCACAGTGATGCTCAGCTCAGGGGCTTATGCTGTTTGAAACTCCTAAACCACAGTCCTGGTTCAGAGTCCTTTAATGATAAAAATTGCTATTATTATTATTATTTTCATCAGATATATTGTCTTAGCTGATGCTTGGTTTCCATTTCCTCCTCCACCTGGTACAATAGTTATTTTCTAGTCCTACTTATGGCTCTCTCCTCTTCCTTTTGCCTCCAGCCTAAGTTCCAAACTGTGGGGTATGGCTCACAGTGTCCCCACACTAGATCCCAGGCTACTCGCCCAGTCTGGAGTCCTGTCAGTTTCCTGAACTGCTTTTCATCACACCCCAAAGTCTGTTTTGTTCTCAGAAAATGCTATTCTCATGATCTTGGGTCTCCTGGTGCTACTTCCTCTTCCTGGAATGTCATCTCCTATGGCTTCAGTTGGTTACATCCTATTGATATTTAATCTTTAAGGCCAATCAAGTATCATCTCTGGCGAGTTTGGCAACTTCCTTCAACTTCTCTCCTTCTCACTCACTGTGCTGCTCAACCCTCTTCCACTTCCAGTTCCCGGGAGAGCAGCTGCTCACTTTCCGTGAGTCTCTGTGCCTGTCTTCTGAGAGACCGAGGCATCCTCGAGGAGGGGACTCGGGAACATGACCTTGGCACCCACAGACTCACAGGGGGAAGCAGCGTAGCAGGACCACATGCAGCAGCTCCTGCAGAGAGCTGAGCAGTGCCGGCCCTCCTCCAGCTGAGTGGCAGACGGGGCTCAGCCTACTCCCACCACTCAAGGTGTGAGGACCTCGGGAAGAAATGAGATGCCGGGAAAGATCCCATCCCTCTAGTTGATGAATGGCGGTCAGCAGCTGGCCAGTCAGGGAACACTTACTGGCCTGGGGATCTTATCTGAAGCGATGAATAGTCTGGCTCATTGTCTGGTCTTTCTGTAGCCTTGACACTGGCTGTCAGATATATTGGAAATGAGGAAAGAAGCCAAGGTGGTTCATGGCCAGATGGCTATACCCCTGGACAGAGGACTGAAAGACTTTATGAATAATAAAGAAACAGGTATCGAAAAGCTCCTTCTAGGAAAAGAGCTCATTGCTCTTTAGAATGAAACTGGAGTCAAGAAACCTGGGCTCTGAGCCGTAGCTAAATTTTGGTTACGGGAGGGGAGCTCAGGAGCCAGACAGTCTGAGTTCGCATCCAGGTTCTATCATTTGCTAGCTGTGTGACCTTGAGCAGGTTACTTAACCTATCTCTGTGCCTAGATTCCCTCATCTATAAAAGGAGAATAACAGGAAATTGTTGGGGACCTCTTGTAGTCCAGTGGTTAACAATTCACCTTGCAATGCAGGGGGTGTCAGTTCAACCTTTGGTCAGGGAACTAAGATCCCACATGCCACAGAGCAACCAAGTCTATGTGCTGCAACTACCGAGCCTGCATGCAACAACTAGAGAGCTTGTGCCCTGCAACAGAAGACCCTGTGTGCCACAGGCAAATAAGACTCAGCGCAGTCAAATAACTACATGTTAAAACATAAGAAATCATTTGGGAAAAGTGCTTATAACCGATTCCAACACAATAAACAGTAACTAAGCCTGGCTCTTGCTACTAATTTCAACTATATCATTTAGAGCTTTGTGACCCTGGGCATATGTACACAGCCATTTGGTACATTCTATACTATTCTGTAGCTGGATGCCCAATACTGACAACATGCAGTTTTATCAGTAATGACACCAACTGGAGAAGAAAATAGCTGTTTTCCACGTTTCTGACTGAGGGTGTTTACTTCTACACAGCGGCCCATCTGTCTTTTTAGAGTAGAAGCTGTCAAGACCCCCCACCGACTGGTCCCTGAATTCTCTCAGAGGGTCTGCCTCATAAAAATGCAAAAAGATGCAGACAGCGATTCAACGCGACATGGTGTTAGCCGTTCATGTGAGACATGTTGGCAATTTGTGAAAAGCAGCCTCAGGTTCATTTCAAAATGTTTTGCCTTGAGATGTTATTCCTCTGTGACTTTCAGTAAGTTTATAGAGAGCTGAGCCCCCTAGGTCTGTTGGGAGATGTTTCTCAGTGCCCGCCTGTGCACGCCAAGCTCAGAAGATCCCAAATGAACTGGTTAACTAGCCCCCTCCTCATCCTTCCAGATCTCTTCTCTCTCCTTTATTCTGGACCTCAATTCCTCACACCCCTTTTCCCCCATTTTCCTCCTAAACATTCAGCTCTCAAACCTTAGTGGTGTGATTTCATTCTCTTTCTTTCCTCTCCTATATCACTCTTTGAAGTTTTTTTTCTTTTTTTAAGTTCTGCATAAAGCATTTTATTCTGTAGTACTTTGGTGCTCAATTTGCATGTGTGTGTATGTGGATGATATATGAAAATCACTCGGAAATTTTTCAGCATTCATGTGCTAACTACATTTACTATTTCCTATGTGGCAGGCAATGCTCTAATTGATTCACATGGATTAATTTATCTAATCCATCCAACAGTAGACCTGTGATGTACACACTGTTATTGTACCAGTTTTATAGATGAAGAGACATCTTGCCCAAGAGCACATAGCTAGCAAGTGGGATTCAAGCCATTGCTTGCCACAGGGTCCTTGCTCTAACGATGACTTAATGCTACAGGTATCCACTGAAAACCACGGAGAGCCTGAAATGTTTCCTTTTGGGCTGTGACTGGCATGCTGCTGCTAAGTCGCTTCAGTCGTGTCCGACTCTGTGCAACCCCATAGACAGCAGCCCACCAGGCTCCTCTGTCCCTGGGATTTCCAGGCAAGAACACTGGAATGGGTTTCCCTTTCTTTCACCAATGCATGCATGCATACTAAGTCAATTCAGTCATGTCTGACTCTGTGTGACCCCATGGACAGCAGCCCACCAGGCTCCTCTGTCCATGGGATTCTCCAGGCAAGAATACTGGAGTGGGTTGCCATTTCCTTCTCCAACCTGTTACCTAGATTCCAGTAAAAAATGGAAACACCCTGGTGGTGGTTTAGTCACTAAGTGTTGTCCGACTCTTGTGCATAGACATATTGAAAAACTTCCCCAGGCCGTTATGATATACTCCTAACACAATGGTGCTAGATTTCTGATGTAACATTTGAGAAAAGTGTTTTATATATGACAAGCTCATGTTAGCTCGATAAAAGACATCTCCCAAAAAATGTCCCTCACTCTGTTCAACACGATATGCAAAACTGTAAAATCTGTCAGGGAGGACACTCTCTGGAATTTCTAAAGGATTATTAACAGGAAATATAGCAAGGTAAAAAGAGCACTATATATAAATCGTATGTCAAAATTTTGTAACATCTGGCATTCTTAGTGCAACTGGAGTGTGACTTTTCCATTGGATTGGCCAAAAGGTTTGTTCAGGTTTTCCATAAGATGTTATAGAAAAACCCAAATGAACTTTCTGGCCAACCCAATACATACACACAGAAAATATTTCAGAAGGAAGTGAAGGAAGCAGAAGCACCGGCTCTTTAATAAATTACACCTGAAGAGCTGGTCTCTGATGGTGCATTTTGCTCCAGGAAGCAGCTCTCCCAGGTTCATCTCCTCCTTCCCCTCCACATCTCTGTTTCTTACCCTAAGTATCTCTCCCCTCCACTCCTCCTGCCCCTGGTCCTCTGTGAAGCCCCAGTACCTCCTCCTCAGTCCTGGCCTCCATCTCCTCTTGAACCCAGAGCGGCCTTTCCAGAGCACGGGAAATGCCACTCCTCTCTTCTGTTCAGTCAGTTCAGTTCAGTTCAGTCGTTCAGTCGTGTCTGACTCTTTGCGACCCCATGGTCTGCAGCACACCAGGCTTCCCTGTCCATCACCAACTCCTGGAGTTTACTCAAACTCATGTCCATTGAGTCGGTGATGCCATCCAACCATCTCATCCTCTGCCATCCCCTTCTCCTGCTGCCTTCAATCTTTCCCAGCATCAGGGTCTTTTCAAATGAGTCAGTTCTTTGCATCAGGTGGCCAAAGGTGGCCTCTCTTCAGACTCCCACTGTGGCTGCTATAGTAGGATCTCTCCAGTGTTTTTCCCCAACCCGAGAAACACAAGGGTCTCTGTGCACAACAAGGGCTCGAATGGCGGTGATGCTCAGCTCAGGGATTTACCTTCATCTGGATTTGGCTCTGCAGGCAGACCTTCCGCTGAGACTCACTGGGCAGGACTTCTGGATCCTCCACTAGCTTCCTGGTCTCTGACACAAATCCATCCTGGTCTCCAACCAAGTCTGTCTGAACTTTCCCCAAGGACCCTTTCAAACCTCTGTGACCCTGCTCTTCACCTTAACGCCCTTCTTCTGCTTCTGCCTGATGAAGCTCCGTGCCCCCCTCACCCCAGGGGGAAGGCTTCCCTTCCTTTAATAACCCTGTTTAGAAGGAACAATCTGTCTCTTGAGCCTTTAATTCCTCTTCCTTGACCTATAATCCATGGTTGACTGCAGTTTCCCTACTAGATTCTAAAACCCTTGAAGACAGGCTTCCTAGAGTATTTGGCTTTGCGTCCATACTGTGCTTCATGCAGTGGCTTGCCTAAGACAGAGGGCCCATAACCAATGAACTGAGTTTCTGAACCTCTGGCCCTTAGGGGTGGGAGTAGGACTAATAATTGGTAATTTGGCAGAAGCTGTGCTGGAACCTTCAGCTGGGCCAGAAAGTCATGAGAGTGGCCCAAAACAATGTGTTCTTCCAGGTACACAGCAGCCTGCTGCCAGGAGGGATTAAAGAAGGGTCCATTGACAGTGCCCAGTGGTGCCCGGTCTCCTGGCACCCTCTTAGCTGTCTTATCCCTAAAGAGCTTGACTGTGCTGTCAGAGAAGAAAGCTGCTTTCTGAGAAAGGCAGGCGCCCAGGTGCTTGTGCCATTTTGTAATGAGGACAGCACTCTGGGATCCCTGTGACCAGGGGGCCAACTTTGGATCTGGGGGACAAGGATTCACGGATTTCCTCCACTTTAGAGTGAGTCCTCATGCTTGGAAAGTGGGCATGGCAACCCACTCCAGTATTCTTGCCTGGGGAATCCCATGGAGAGAGGAGCCTGGTGGGCTACAATCCATAGGTTGCAAAGAGTGAGACATGACTGAAGCAACTCAGCACACGTGCATGCGAGTGAGGCAAATTTCTTTCCTAAAAGTGCATCCACGCAGATTTCCCTTGGCCCTAAAATCTTCTTCACCAAAGAAAGTGAGCCTTTTGTTGATAAGTCACCCAGATGGATTCTCTCAGGTCAATGGATGGCTGGGGAGGATCCACTCAAAGCAGAACAATGGTCCCTCATTTTTTTTTTTTTTTTGGCAGCGCCGTGCAGTACACAGAATCTTAGCTCCCCAGGGATTGAAGCTGTGCCACCTTCCATGGAAGCGTGGAGTCTTAACCACTGGACCATCAGGGATGTCCTGACAGTCCCTCATTTTTAAAAAGGACTTCTTTGGCTGTTTCCACTTAGTAGATTTACTTCCAACACAGCCTCAAGAATTCTGGCCACTAGAGAGGACTCTGTGTTCCATAACGAATGTTCTAAGCTTTGCTCTCAAATAAGAGTCTTCAGTACAAAAGCGCGTGGGTGTTTATTTTTCCAAAGCCCAGGGTATGTGATTTAGCGAGCTTTCAGGTAGTCGTTGGTGGAGGGCACCCCTGGCTGGCTGTCAGCACTTGGAGCCACAGCTGGCATCAAAGGTATAGAAATAGCCTCTCATGTTCTGTGCTGGTCAGTTTAAGGGGACTCGAGGATGAGAAGGTTCTGTACACAGGCCAACTCTTCTGATAGCATGTCAACTGAATTTTTGTTCCAATCTTCTAAACAAGCACCTTCTGGATGGTTCTCTCTTCTTCATTCTCTTTTCCTGTTTAGTTCACTCTTTCTTTAGCTTCTAGTTCCAGGCAGATCTTCATGACAAGAAGGAATTCCGATCAACTAACCAGAAGCAGAGACCTAAAGCTGGCTCCCCCTGGGAAGAGGCCAGGCCTGTCCTCATCCACTCACACCTGAACGGGCACCTGCAGTCAGAGTGTGGGGCAGACTTGGGGACACAATCTGCTGACCTGGGCCTTGGCTGGTCTGTCTCGAGTCTTCTCCAGCCCTCTTTCTGCTAATGAGGCAGGGTGCCCCAGACTCTTCAGTAATCCCATGCCCTCCTTCCCCACCCATGCGTTCTCTGCATGTGGGTAGGCCTGGGTATCACACAGCACACCCTGTCCATTCATTCTGGCCTGGCTGCCCTGCATGACTGGTGCTCTCAGATGCTTTCAAGCTCCATTAGTCTCCTCATCTTGGTGCAGAAATTGTGCTGAGATGTCCAGAAGTAGAGCCAGGGGGAAACTCCCCCTTGACAGCACCTGACTACTTGGCTGGGCGTGGTGGGCATTTGGCAGTCCTGGATTAATCCAGGCTTTCTCAGTTGCCTGGCGTGTCGGGCTCCCTGCTATCCTTGACTTGCCATGTTGTGATGGGAGAACTGGGAACTCTGAGTTCCCTCTGCACAGAGGGGCAGGAACCAAAGCCTGAAACCAATTATGCATTATGTGGTTTTTTTTCTTTCTCCTTTGGCCCTGAGTAGGCTTTGTGCTAATCAAATATCACCTCCTTTGTACTTTGCAGCTTTGTCTCAATGGTCTCCTGCTTGGTCTCCTAAGTAAAGGTGACTGTAGCATCCATCAGAGCTCACCAGAAAGAACCATTATGGAGATGAAGCCATCAGGTGATGTTATCACAAGCAGGTTTCACTTTAAGTCAATGGGCCACATTAAACTGCAAACCCCTTTTTCAACACTGATAAATTACAAGGTGCTTCTTTGCTTCACAAAATTATTTATCGGTTTCCTTAAAGCAGTGGTTATTATCCTCTCATGAAACATGAGAGCTACCTATCTCCCTAGAAAACAGTGGCCTGCCTGAAGCTTTTAACAATTTTGATAGTTGTTGGTTCAGAGACCCCAGGAAGGTCACTCCTGAGTACTCTGGTCAACCATGGAGGCCAGTTAGGAATCTCTATGATCTCTACGTTTGAGAGACATACAACTTGTGATACTTGGAGAGGATTTGATGTCTCTGCTGTCTACACAAAATACTCATGCATTTATGACCACACAAGGCAAAGCACACAATCACTGACAGAATGGGCTCACCTGTACACCAACACTTCTTGGACATTGGGTGTAATGTGCTTTTCACATATAGCTTTCACACTTTACGTTGTTAAGGAGAAAAATGTGTGTACCTCTCCACGCCGCTCAGTTTCCACTTGTGTTTCCGAGACATCAGTAATCCCCCACCCCAAGCTGCCTGGAAAAAGAACGGCATACAAAGAAAAGGTAGTGTTTTTTCATTGCCTGGATTTCTAGAATTTGGTATCTTTCAAAACAGCAAGCATTGCTTGCAGTGAAAGTTATAACCTCAACCCCAGATAACTTGGGGATTGGCACTAGACTTCCAAAGATTAAGTTGGGGGGCTATTCTAAAGTCTCAGGCTCCATCCCACATTTATATGGGTGTAAGAAGCCAAACACTTCCTCAGTCTGCATGAAAAGGAGAAAGATCCTTCCCAATCCATCAGCGCTGTGCTTAGTTTTAGGGAAGCTCATCATTTCAGAACTAGAAGTGCTAATATCTCCACAGTTTAGACTAAAAATGATGAATTAAAACCCTTTAAACAACTTTCACATTGCAAGGAAAACTCTTTCTGAAAACTCTGAGTGCATATTATTAATATAAAGCCAAAATGACCTAAGCCAGTCTACTCAACAACATAAGCCTCTTGCACCAGAATGGAAAGCAACTTATGCTTCCTTTGTTGACAAAGCCTCACAGTGAAAACACATCAGCTGAACCAAGCATGGAGCTTAGTGATGATATAGCATTGATTGCTGATCTCATCGTGGGTCATTAGCAGTTTTCAGAGAGTAACTGATCTTTGAGCCACACTTAGAGTTATATTGGTTTAAACTTAAATTCCATTAGTTTGTCCTTCTAAAAGTTGACATCTGTTTTCATTTGAAAATGTCTTGATGAGTGCTCCCCATTATTTCTTGGTGTGACTAACTGTGGAGTCAAAACATCTCATATATGGCCTATCTTACTAGCTGACCATACACTGGAAATTTAGTGATTCGTATTTCCTAGCAAGTTGTCAAGTCTACTTTCCTCCTCAGTTATACTAGTTTCTGACTTGAGTTGAATTTTTTATCCACTGGCTCTCCTAGATAAATGAAACTCCTATTTACTCTTTTGATCATTCTCATAACGAAGGAAGCTTTGCATGTATGTGAGACCTTGCACATGTGAGACTGTGTGTGTGTGTTTGCATGTGTGTGAGTGTGTGTATGTTTACGTGTGTGTATGTTTGCATGTGTGTGACTGTGTGTATATTTGCATGTATGTGTGTTTGCATGTGTATGACTGTATGTTTGCATGTGTGTGTGTTTGCATGTGTGTGACTGTGTGTGTTCCTCTGTGGACATTATGACCCAATGAACCAAGAACTAAGTGCTCAGCTCAGGGGGTCACAGAAATAAGAATATTATCCTGTTGGGGAAGTTAAGACAAAATCAGCCTTAGATTGCTTCCAGCGAATGTCGTGTACTGTGTGAGTCATGTACTACATTGTCTCTGTGATCTTTAAAAGCTTATCTATCATCACTCTGGGAATAAACTCCTAAAGTAGAAAACAAAATAGAATACATTTCACTCCATGAGCTCCAGGCACAAAATGTGCAAGAACATTTCAGTGGTGGTGCCTCTGGGATACTTACATCCACATGCATCCAGATCTTGTACTTTTTGCAGATGTCAGCAACCGCTAACAGGGGGTCAAATGCTCCATACACAGTGGTCCCAGCCGTGGCGCTCACAAGGAAAGGGACAAACCCCTATGCAAATGAGAAAGCCCCAAATAATGTAAACCAGCAATCCAAGGATTCTTTTAAAAAGCTGATTTTAAAAGGTGGACATTCTCCTCCTATCTTACACATCTGTCTTTTTGGAACCACCAGAAGGGTTTTGGCGATATCTTGGAGCCTAGTAGGAATGACATTCGCTCTCTAGATCTGAGTTCTCCAGGCCATTCCGTTGGCTCCGCCAGTTGCCTTATGAGAACAGACACTCTGGTTCTCAGAAGAGGCTGCACTGGACCTGGGGGGTGAGTAAACTTGGTGGTGCCCAAAAATCTTTGGTATATTCCAAGGAGAGTTTCTGACCTTCCCGCCACCCACCCACTCACCCACTTACTTTCCTAGTCTTCCTTTTTCATAGCAGGGTCTCTGAACATAATAAACCTCCTAGAGTGAGCAGACAATAGGAGGAAGGGAAGGAACTCCTACCTGCCCATTATTCCTCGTTGGAAAATCCCTAGATAACTTATTTGGAGTTTCAGAGGATTCACTTGGGAGTAAAAAATAAGCCATGATTTTATCCATCTAAATTGACTTAGTCTGTCTGGCCATGGCTAAATGAAAACTGATAGAAATAATAGGCTGCTGATGAAAAATGGCCAAAGAATGTCACTCAGTCGTGTCCGACTCTTTGCAACCCATGGCCTGTAGCCCGCCAGGCCTCTCAGTCCATGGAATCCTCCAGGCAACTGGAATGGGCAGCCATTCCCTTCTCCAGGGGATCTTCCCGACCCAGGGATGGAACTCGGGTCTCCTGCATTGCAGGCAGACTCTTTAATGTCTGCCACCAGGGAAGCCCAAATGAAAACTGATAGAAATAATAGGCTGTTGCTGAAAGATGGCTGAAGAATGCCTCAAACAGGGTGAACAGGGTTACTCCATAAAGACATGACAGGCTCTGATGTTACAGAGTCAGTCTTTAGGTGGCAGCAAAGGTTTATGTGGTTACAAGTGGTCCTAGGACCAGAATAAGGGGAAAGGATCCTGCTGCCACTCTGCAGGGGAGGAAAAGGCCTAAGAAAACAAATGATTTCTGAGATCCTAATAATAAAATTCATGTGCTATGTCGTTGAACTGGGAACTGTAGATGAGATCTACTAAAAGCTCCAACCTGCAAATCATGCAGGGATGTAAATGACTTTCTAGAGCTTTGTAGGAATATTCAGCAGGTCTTCAGAACGTGTCACTTCTTTAAAAAAGTACTAAATGGCTTCCTGAAAAATAAGGTGTTTGGAGGGTCAATCATTTCAGTATGTGTCTTGGCAGGAAACAGTCCCTTTCAAATAACCACACACAGCAACTCCCATATGCTAAATTAGCTTCTAGGGATTTTCCATTTGTGAATGCAGTCTTTCCAGTGAATCTGCTTAATGCCAATCTTCATCACACAGGAAAACAAGTCCATTGGAAACTGTTACTACCCTTGTGTTACTAGAACTGGTTAGTATAACTGTGTTACTATAATTGTTAGTACCACTGTATATAGTATTTACTCAGTAAATTAGACTTTTTCAAAGTAAAGCCCATCACTCAGAGAAATAAATAATGACTGAATGAAAAATTCCATGTACTCTTTACAAATACAGCAAAAACACTTTCTCTAGTGGATGGAAACAGAAATACATACCCTCACCTTGTTATGGGCTGCATAAAACTCCCTTCAAAAACTTACTTTTTGTTTGGCTTCAAGGATCCTTCTTTCAAGGTCAGACGGGATCATTTTCCCTCTGAAAGGAGAAACAAATATATGTTTGCTTTGAATAATTTATTTTGTTGCCTTTACAAAGAGTTGCAAGGGAAAGTTCAACCTTCAATGATTGCTAATAATGATCAGTTAGAATCATTCCTTGGTTGTTTCCAGAAAGAAAAGCATTTCCTCCCTGAATGACACTGGACTGTCATTTCTGACATGCTTAGGAGACACCTGACCTCGCTGTCCACGTGTCTCTCCACTCTGCACAGAGCCTGTTTTATAGGTCATCTCCTTAGTTAGAGCAAACCTGTTCTGGAGTGAGACATTTGGCACTGAAAGCAGATTTAGAAAAAAGATTTGTATTCCAAATCTTCCAACAAACAGACCTGCAATTGCACACAGAGATGAAATGCCAAGAAGAGAAAATCCACTCTGAAACATCTGAATGAAAATATTACATCCAAAGATACCCAGTTACTTTCTGAGAGCTAAAATCACAAAGCAACCAAGAACTCGTGGGCTCAAATGTCAAACAGGCATCGGAGAAACATCCTTTCATCTCCATCCTTTCATCCTTTCCTTCCTAAAATAGGAACACATAGTGCTTTAGTTACTATACAACCCCACTTTTGGACTTCTCTGGTGGTCCAGTGGTTAAGAAGCCACCTGCCAATGCAGGAACATGAGTTCGATCCCTGGTCCTGGCAGATCCTAATGCCCCGGGAAAACTAAGCCCATGAGCCACAACTGCTGAAGCCCACAAGCTTAGAGCCCATGACCTGCAACAAGAGAAGCCACTGCAATGAGAAGCCCATGCACTGCACCTAGACAGTAGCCGCTGCTCACTGCAACTAGAGAAAGCCCTTATGCAACAACGGAGACCCAGCGCAGCCAAAATAAATAAATCAACAATTTTTTTAAACTACTATTATAATAATCAAAGGAGTTGATTTCTACAAGAAGTTAGAGGCGGCTAGATGTGTGATCTTAGTCAAGTCACTTAATTTCTCTGTGCCTATTATGGCCGTACCTTAGTGATATTACTTATGGAGTTATAAGGGTTATATGAGTTAATAGATGAAAAATTATTTTTAAAAGTGCCTGGCATTTAGGAAGTATTCCAGAAAAGAGAGCTTTTATTGTTGAGGTTGTTATTTGCATTATGACATTCCTACTGCAAGACTCTGGAGGGAAAAATCAAGCAAACAACAGAGTAGCTAACTGTATGTTACTGGAGGCGGGAATGATTTTTTGAACCAAAAGAGCTATTCTGAGGTTTCTGCACTGGCTAAACTTGTCGGACTGGGGTCATTGATCAAGACTTGTAAAAGGCAGCTTGGAAAAATAAGTGATGGGAAGGAGGTTTTCACAATAAGTAGCTGGAAATGCTACTGGCATTGAGGGGACAGTAAGTGAGGTTTGGAATGTGCCATTAGATTCATAGTCTTTTGTGGGGATCCTTGTAATTTTAGGTAGGTATAGATTTAGATACAGAGCAAGCCATTAGGCTACTTCTTTACCACTTCTAGTGTTGTCTTGCCTGAGCTTTCCTGACTGAAATATGTTATCTTATTTTAAACTACTTTTCTCACTTTTGTCCATTTTATAAAAGTAATCTGGGCATAGTGGGCATTGTATCTTCCACAATTTTCATTTCAGGATGACAAAGAAGGTACTACGTAATGGTTGGCATAGAAAGCAGAGGTTAGTCCCTCTGCTTTAAAAAGCATGGAGAACCACTGAGTTTTGTGAAGCTATTTTCCAAAGAAAGGCAGTTAACACATTATTGACCAGAGACCTATGAATGCTATAGATGTTAGTTTCTACAAAAATCCCCTGGTCAATAAAGCATTAAAATGCAATTAATTACCTGGCAACCGCAATGGACACATCACCAGTGATTAATCAGTTGGACTGGAGTGAAACAAAGGGCATTAAAGGTTTATTTGGTGCTGAGGGTGTGATTCTAATCTGAGCAGCCCAACTCTGGGGACTTTCTGTGGGATGGACCTCTGAAGGAGGGACAGAAGGAATGGAGGGGCAGGCTCATGGCGGGGGTGGGCGGGTAGAGAGTTCTGGAAGGCCCTTGACGCCCTACACGTCTCCCTACACTTCACAGCTTGGCCTGGGAGCATCCCTGAAAGCTGTGATTTTATTTGCAAAAAGTGGAAACAGAGATACAGACATGGAGATCAAACATATGGATATCAAAGGGGAAGTGCAGGGGATGAATTGGGAGATTTGGATCGACATATATACACTACTGATATTACGTATACAACAGATCACTAGTGAGAACCGACTGTGCAGTACAGGGAACTCTACTCAATGCTCTGCGGTGACCTAAACGGGAAGGAAATCCCCCAAAGACGGGATGCATGCATATATAGAGCTGATTCACTTTGCTGTATAGTAGACACTAACACAACATTATAAAGCAATTATAAGCCAATAAAAATTAACTTAAAAAGAAAGAATTGTTCTACTCACCTGAAGGAAAGAAAAAGAAAGCTGTGATTTTTCAGCCTCTCTTAGATCTGGCTATGCTAAAACACCTTGTGCCACCATGATAAAAACAAAAGGTTCACATTTCAGGGGAAATTCAGGCTTTGAAACTAAGTTTTAAAGTACTTTAAAATTGCAAAGGTGCTTTTGTTGATAAACATAAAATTGGGAGAGGATTTTCAGAAATTGTTTGCAAGTCTCAAATGTTACCTAGTATACCACAACTAACTTCCTCTGCCTTGGGGAGTTCTGGGGAGACTGACTTGACAATTGCTATTAGCTCACTAATCACATCTAGATATTTTGTTAACCCTTGGCAGTAAGACCCCACAGATAAGTCACAGATAGGGAACATCAGAATTGGGAGGGGCCCAAGACCTCTTTCTCGTTTTCTCAATGATTGTCTCATTTCTCAAATGAGGAAACAGGATAAGACAGTTGCCTGTGTGACAGCCTAGGATCAGGTAAAGCCTGGCTGAAACGAGAAAGTAAATGCCAAGCTTCCAGAACAAACTCAAAGGGCCAAACATTAGGAAACCTCTTTGCAAATGTTGTTGTCTTTGAAGACGATAAGATAAATCCTTTGTGATGACATTTAGCTTTCAAGAATCGGAGGTGTCATTCACACCTGCTGGGAAAGCAGTAATGAACGTATGCGTGCAGGCGTGCCAAGTCGCTTCAGTCGTGTCCGACTCTTTGTGACCCTATGGACTGTAGCCCACCAGGCTCCTCTGTGCACGGGATTTTCCAGGCAAGAATACTGGAGTGGGTTGCCATACCCCCCTCCAGGGGATCTTCCCAACCCAGGGATAGAACGCATGTCTCTTACGTCTCCTGCATTGGCAGGTGGATTCTTTACCACTAGCACCACCTGGGAAGCCCAGTGAACATATACTCTGTCCCATTTCCACATGAACGCAGGAAGAAGGGACAGCCTTGTCAAGTCATCAAGCCCAAGCATTTGCTTCTCACAGAGTGGAAAGCTCTGGGTGTGTCCTTAACAGGTAGGCTCCAGACTTCTCCAGGCATCCAGCCTTCAAGCCTGTATTTGCTTTGTCCACTTAGGAACCCAGAGCCTGGCACACTGCAGGAGGCAGATGGACATTTGTCGGAGGTATATGACTAGAAGGCAAACGTTTCACCCCAGGATATTATTAATATGCTCACTTTATCTTGGTGACTGATCAGAAAGCTAGTATGGGAGACTCTGTAGACAAAACTTTTCACCTTTTCAGTGATCTTAGAATTGGATGACTTTGCAAAATTTTGCATGCATAAAAATCATAATGTATGTCTTCAAAATGCATATTACTTGGCTCTGATCTTAGGAATTTTGATTCAGAAGGTCAGTGATAGGGCCCTGTAATTAATTCATTCTACAAATATTTACTGAAGACTCACTATGTGCCAAATGCTATTAGGGTTGCTGGGGCACCCGGGTAAACAGGCCAGTTTCTACTCTCCAGGGTTTACATCCTAACAGAGGAGACAAACAATAATAAATAAGCAAACATGCATAGCAATCCGCATTTCTAACAAGGAGATTGTGGCACAGGCAGACCTAGGTCCACATGTTGAGAAACATTGCTTTAGAAATGGAAGTTTTATCCTGGCAGGTATTTCCATAATTGTGTAACATACTAGCCAGGCATTTTTCACAGGACCCAGGGTTTTGAGCCATCACAGCCATAGGGCAGCTAGCAGAAGGAGGTCCAGACATGACTGTGCATCCCCATCTGCCCATGTGCTGTGAGAGGAAGAGAGCCTCCAAGCTCCCCAACAGGTTCCTCTGAGGATTAGAAGCTGTCTGGCAGCCCTAGCTTTTCCAGACAAGCATCTTTTCATGCAGGGAAGCTTTAGATGGCAGCTATTGCATCCTGTATGTCTGGTTTAGAAGTATTATCACAGCAAAATGTATATCTTTTATCTTTAGGTATGCAGCAGCCTCTAAGCACCCAGTGAAACAGTGGCTGATGCTCTGTGGTGCTATTCTCTGTTGGTGCCAGTGTTTAAGAAAAAAAAAAAACTGCCATTAAAAGGGAGAACTGTTGAACCAGACTGCTGCTTTGGATGAGGCAGTTTTACATGGAGATTCTTGATTGTGATAGTCTTTTAAAAACGTTTATGATGGAGACCTTCGTAGCCATGTAGTGTTAAGACTCCGTGCTTCTACTGCAGGGTTCACAGGTTTGCCCCCTGGTTGGGTAACTAAGATTCCACATGCCATGCAGAGTGGCCAAATAAAAATATTTTTAAAACTTTAAAAAGCAAAGCATGTCATAATGGATTAAAAAAAACTAAGCATGAAAAATAAGTATTAAAAAATTCATGTGATGCTCTAGTTGTCATCTATACAGAAGTCAAAACCTTATGTTGTACACATGACATTTTTATAACTATGATAAACCAATACTGTCTCAATACATTTAAAAACAATTTTAATCCATATGATGCTATCCGGTCAGAAAACTCGATGAAGTTGCCTGGGCAAAATCCCACACTGCCAGCTAGAGCCACCAGCAGGAAGAATCTTCTCTTTGTGGAAAGAAGCAAATGACACAGATTACACTGTACTATCCAGATTCACGGCTATCTTTCCATGGCTGTGAAGGGGAAAATGATCTTACCCAAAGGAGCATGCTACTGGGGAGTGTGGTGCTCTGGGCAGATCACAAATGGGGTGCTTGAGTATTTGGTGACTCTGTTCACTGACCCTGCTGAACTATAATAATTCTATCAGCCTACGGGCTGAGAGCTTAACTCTGTTCACAGAGATTTGTGTGCAAAGAAGAAAGCATGCGTGATCCTTCCCATTAGAAACTGCCTAATGTTACTACCACTGTTAATAGCAACAGTGCCCTGCAGGGACAAGGAACTACCAGTTTTAGAAGCAGTCACTGCACTGTGCCTCACTCCTGATCTCTGCCCCTCAGATCAACTCCACAAGAGATTCATTACTGTGTGATTTAGACTTATTACTAGTAATTTAGGTAAGTTAAAGGGAACCCTGAAGGGAGGAGCAAGAAATGGAGAAATCAAAGAAAAGTGAAATTTGACATTGATGCAGACTATTATTTAATCTATCCACCCTATTCAGATTTCATCAACTGTCCCAATACTATCCTTTCTGTTCAGGTCAGTTCAGTTCAGTCACTCAGTCATGTCCAACTCTCTGCCACCTCATGGACTGCAGCATGCCAGGCATCCCTGTCCTTCACCATCTCCTGGAGTTTGTGCAAACTCATGTCCATCGAATCGGTGATGCCATCCAACCATGTCATCCTCTGTTGTCCCCTTAGAGCTATTTTCGCCTCCTGTCCAAGTTCGCAGGTGACACTTAGTTGTCACCTTTTTAGTCCCCTTTAATCTGGACCTTGTCCTCATCCTTTCATTGTTTTTCATGACATTGATATTTTGATGAGTGTAGATCATTTATTTTGCAGCATATTTCTTAATTTGTGTTTATTTGACATTTCTTTGTGATTAGATTCAGGCAATGCATTTTGGGCTAATGTGTGTGGGGCTTCCCTGGGGGCTCAGCTGGTAAAGAATCCACCTGTAATGTGGGTAGACCTGAGTTCTATCCCTGGGTTGGGAAGATCCCCTGGAGAAGGGAACAGCTTATGGCTCCAGTATTCTTGCCGGAGAATTCCAATGACTGTATAGTCCATGGAGGGTTGCAGACAGTCAGACTCAACTAAGCGACTTTCACTTTTAGGGATTCTCTGGTGGCTCAGACGGTAAAGTGTCTGACCACAATGCGGGAGACCTGGGTTCGATCCCCAAGTCGGGAAGATCCCCTGGAGCAGGAAATGGCAATCCACTCCAGTACTCTTGCCTAGAAAATTCCATGGATGGAGGAGCCTGGTGGGCCCATGGGGTCACATGAAGTCCATGGGGTCACAGAGTAGGACACGACTGAGCGACTTCACTTCACTTCAATGTGTGTAATACTATAATGATTTACTGGTGGCTCAGTGGTAAAGAATCCGCCTGCCAATGCAGGAGACATGGGTCTTATCACTAGGTCGGGAAGATCCCCTGGAAAAGGAAATGGCAACCCACTCCAGTATTCTTGCCTGGGAAAACCCACTGGAGCGAGGAGCCTGGCAGGCGGCAGTCCATGGGGTCACAAAGCGTAGGATATGCTTTATCGACTAAACAGCAATACTGTAATATTCATTACATTCAACATGTAATATTAACATCAAATTCCATACACAGAAAGAAAGAGAATGGTAAAGCAAATATATCAGAATGCTAATGACTAGTGAATTTGGGTGCAGAGTATGTAAGAGTTCTTGCAGTTTTTCTTTGGTTGAAATTATTCACAAAACTACAAATTTTAAAAAAAGGCTGGATAAATAAATATCTAAGAATCTTTTTAATGCTGAGGGTTTCTGAACTGAAATCCACTGGCAGCTGCCCACCGCCCCCCAACAGCCCTCCTCCCTAAATCTCTCCCCTTCCCTTCCATCACCACTCCTGCTCTCTCCCCTCTGTCTCCTTCCTGTTTTATAATGTAAGATGATTTCAGACTGCTTGTGAGCTCTTCAGAGGCAGTTCCTACATAATTTTAGCCAAAAGAATAAGAAACTCACATAGGAAATTAAACCTCAGCTATTTTTTCCATATAATTCACACTTCACCTCTAGCAGACTCTTCCCTGCGCAGTTAAAGATGTCTTAAGCCCCCTTGGGCTTCCAGGTAGCTCAAACAGTAAAGAATCTGCCCACAATGTGGGAAATCTGGGTTCAATCCCTGGGTTGGGAAGATCCCCTGGAGAAGGGAATGGCAAACCACTCTAGTATTCTTGCCTGGAGAATCCCATGGACAGAGGAGCCTTGTGGGCTATGGTCCATGGGGTCGCAAAGTGTCAGACACAACCGAATGACTTCCATTTTCTGTCACACTTGCCTTTCTTTAAGCCCCCTTCCTTAAAACAACCCAACCCAAACCACTTTGGACTCCGTCCAGCTCCCACCCTGCTTCCTCCCCTTCATGGCTCAACCTCTGGAAACATCTGGCTTTTTTCTCCATTTCCTCCTCTCCACTCACCCTTGAACACACTGCAAACTGCCTTCCAGCCTCAACCCTCTACTGAAACTGCTCCTGCCAAACTCACCAGCCCCCTTCTTATAAGGAGAGCTGAGAGGCAGGTGTTGACCCTCATTTCATCTACTGGTGGCATCTGATGCAGCAACCACTCCACAGGCTTCCCTGGTGGCTGAAACAGTAACCTGCCTGCAGTGCAGGAGACCCGGGTTCGACCCTTGGGTCAGGAGCATGCCCTGGAGAAGGAAACGGCAACCCACTCCAGTATTCTCGCCTGGAGAATTCCATGGACAGAGGAGCCTGGTGGGCTCACAATGAGGGGTCACAATGAGTTAGACACGACTGAGCAACTAATCCTTTCAGCTTTCAACCACTCCTAGAAACACTCTCACAGCCCTGGGTCCTGATTCTCCCCCACCTCCGGCTGCCCCTCCTTACTCTCCAGGGCAGCTGCTCTCGCTCCACCTGTCCCGGACACGTGGGTTCCCCTGACTCTCGCCCAGGCCCACTCTGCACGGCTCCCATCACACACCGTCTGACCTCCAGGCTGATGCTTCCGTTGGCCACCCTGACACCTTCACTTGGACGTCTCATAGCTCTACAAACTCAGCATCTCCACTTCGGGGGCGGGGGGGATGGTTCCTGGCTTTGAGAATAGCACCGCGTGGACTTAGCCAGGAAGTCTGGTGTTCCCTCTCCTCTTAGCTGTCAACCTGCACACCACCCACCACCCCCGGGTCAGCCAGTAATTCCTGTCAATTCCAGCACTTCCTCTCCACTGCTCCTCCCCAGGTCAGCCCACCCTCCTTCTGCCGACAGGACCTCTCCCCATTTGGGTCATATACAGCCAGGGAACTGGGATTATGCCTTATGCTTTTCTAGAGCCTAGTGACATGGTAAAGTGATCATACATATCTCTCTAATAAATTCATATGAATAAATAAATGGTGAATTGAGTAGCTTCCTTTTAATTTAGTGGAATTTCTTATTCAATCCTTCTAAGACTAAATGTATTTTCTTACATTTTAACCTCACCTTTATCCAGAGTACCTAAGAAGTTTGGGTACCAGATTAAGACAGGGAGTTTTCCTAAGCTTTCCAGAGCTCTTTGGCTCAGACTCTGAGCTGATGAGTTGCTGGAGGCATTATTTACCTTCTGCTCCCTAAACTATCCCCCTCCTGTAATCACTCCATCAAGTTCACACAATCTGTGGTGCCTGGAGGGATGACACCTCCATAAATCAGTTCTCAACCCGTTGGCTGCTGCTTAAGTGCCCAGATGATAAATGTCCTTCTGCACCTTCTCAGTGCAGAAAATTCTGGTTGATTCAGCAAGATTTGGATTCAGTCAAAGACTGTGAATGCCTCTGCGTCATTGAGGAACCACGTCCCAGGACTCCAAGCAAGAGGGAAAAAGAAACAGCAAAGACCAACAGCTGGCAAAGAGGCAGGTTTGTGCCCTACAGGTCATCACCTGTTTTTAGACTTTTAAGGTGTATGTACACAAACTGCAAACTGCTAACCAACAAGGGTTGCAGATTCATGCTCACCTTTCATCACATTTAATCAGAATCACACTGTCTGTTCCAATGCCCAAGGCTGCAGCTCCCTTCTTGAGAGAAAAATGGCTCTGTAAAAGAAACCGTATCTGTAATTAGTTGCAAATAAAGTCAAGATCCATTTCCTTGGCTGTTTTTCTTTTTTCCTTTTCTCCTTTTATTTCTAACATGTCCCTCCAAAGCCTGAATTGCTGAGAAAAGATGGGATCCTTCATTTAACCTTTTTTTTTTCAATTGTGGTGAAAGGCACATAACATGAAATTTATCATCTTAACTATTTTAAGTCTCTAGGTCAATGGCATAAAATATATTCACATTTAATGAATGTGAGCAACCATTTGAGCAACCATCACTACCATCTATCTCCTGAGCTCTTATCATCTTGCAAAGACTGACACTCTGTATCCATTAAACAGCAGCTCCCCATTTTTGGAAGACTTCTAGCAAAAAGACTATCAGGTATCACCACAGTGATAATCTATTCTTCATTTAAGAATTTGTGGAAGCATCCCTGGTGGCTGGCTCAGATGGTAAAGAATCTGCCTGCAATGCAGGGGACCCGAGTTCATCCCAGGTCAGGAAGATCCCCTGGAGAAGGGCATGGCAACCCACTCCAATAGTCTTGCCTGAGAAATCCCATGAACAGAGGAGCCTGGCAGGATACAATCCATAGCGTCACAAAGAGCTGGATACAATTGAGCAACTTTAACTCCTCCAGTTTTTATTTTTTCCTGTTAAACAAGCTGAATTAAATCTCCCTATTACAGGACTTGTCAGAGCCTTTAATAGGAAAACACATGCGGCAGGTCTTCAAGGTAGATCTGTTTTGCTATGATTCTTGCGTTTATTTGCCAATGGAACCCCGTTAGCGAGAAGCACTCAACTTGACCAGACCATTCACAGCACAGGAGAAGAGAGGCTCCTTCACGCTGGATGGCCCACCCTTCTCTCCAGCAGTGGTTCTCAAACTGCAGGATACATCACAATCTCCTGGAGGGCTTGCTCCTACCCTTCTACTTTCTATCTTGATGAATTTGACTACTTTAATAACTCATGTCAGTGGAACCATACGGTAATTATTTTGTGTGTGTGTGTGACTGGTTTATTTTATTAGCATAATAGCCTCAAGGTTCATCCATTTTGTAGCATGTGTCAGAATTTCCTTCTTTTTAATGTCAAATCACATTCATTTTAGACTTCCCAGGTGGTGCAGTGGTAAAGAATCTGCCTGCAATGCAAGAAGAGCAAGAGATGTGGGTTCGATCCCTGGGTTGGGAAGATCTCCTGGGGTAGGAAATGACAACCCGCCCCAATACTCTTGCATGGAAAATCCCATGGACAGAGCAACTTGGTGGGTTACAGTCCATGGGGCCACAAAGAGTCAGACATGACTGAGCAACTGAGCACACACTGCATATTCATCTTACGTACACACAGCACTTTAGTTTTTCATTCATCTGTCAATAAACACTTGGGTTGCTTTCACCCTTTGCCCTTGTGAATAAGGCTGTGATGAACATGGATGGATAATTATCTCCTTGAGTTTTGTTTTTAACTCTTTTGGCTATATACCCAGAAATGGAAATGCTGGATCATAAGGTAATTCTGCTTCTGAGGAACAGCCATATTGTTTCCTCAGCAGCTACATTTTCCTTTCTCACTGGCAGTGCACAACAGTTTCAGTTTCTCCACACCCTTGTCAATGGTTGTTGTTTTCTGTTTTCTGATAACAGTCATTTTGGGAGGTATGGGGTGATACTTCATTATGATTTTGCTTTTTATTTACCTAATCATTAGTGATGTCATTTCATGGACTTACTGGCCATTGGTACATTTCTTTGGAGAAATGTCTACAAGTTCTTTGCCCATTTTTGAAGGGGGTTGTTTGGATTTTGTTGCTGTTGAATTCACTTGGGCTTTTGCATGAAAATAACAAGATCTTGGAAATTATTTTTTTTTAAAAATTGCTAGGTGGCTTAGTGGTAAAGAATCCACCTGCCAAGCCAGAGACACGGGTTCAGTCCCTAGGTTAGGAAGATCCTCTAGGAATGAAATGGCAACCCATTCTAGTATTCTTGCCTGAAAAATGTCATGGACAGAGGAGACTGGAGGGCTATAGTCCATGGAGTTGTAAAAGAACTGGACATGACTGAATGACTAAACAACACACAGTAATCCCTGCCAATCTCACACACAAGGCATCAAAACACAGCAACAGCCTCCAGCAGCTGTGTATTGTATGGCTCCCAGACTTATATTTTGCTACTCAGATTACATTCACTTTTTTTCAAGTCCAGTGAAATTATGTGCCCTCAAGGAAGAGAAGTTGGCCTGAAACCCAGCACTCTTTCATCCCAGACTCATTGGAGGGGCTATTTGTGGTGGAGATGACTGTCCAGCCCAGGGTGTGATCAGGATGGAGGCATCAGTCACTGGCTTGGGCAAACACTGCAAGTAGGAAGACCACCCTGATGAGCGGAATCTTTGTGATTTTGGTTATGGATTCTTGCTAAGAATCTGAATCATTTCAATGGCTGTAATCACTGTGCATTCTAAAGAGCAGAGAGGATCCAACCTTGCCCAGCTGTACTACGTCTTCGAGCAGCCTCCTACTATTAAATACAGGTCATTAAGCTGTTCAAAAGGAGAGCTGCTTCCTCAATTTACATCTGCAAAGGGTGGCTGCCTTGAATTTTAAAAGATGGCTCCAGAGTGTGTTCTCCAATGTATGCTTTGGACTTCTTCGAATTCTCAAATGTGCAGCCTAGGAACTGGTAACACACATACTTCTGTGTGTGTGTGTGGGTGTGGCTAATAAGCAAGAAGAAATCACATTTATAACAGTAGCAAACACTATAAACCAATAAATGAGGTGTTGAATAGAGGAGTTTTAAAAAGCCCAGTGCAGTTAACAGTAGTGATGGGAAGGAGTCCCTAGTCTCATTTTACAACCTCAGGAAGACAATGTGGACAATCATTACCAAGATACCTGGGAACTAAGAAAGTTTAGTTGTATTTGGAAAGAAGCATGGCTTCCCCATCAAAAAAAAAAAAAAAGTTCTCTCTAACATAGTTACTGGTTCCTTGGGTGACCCCCAAAGGAAGACACCCAGGGGAAAATGGCCTAAGTCTGCTCCTACCAGGGAGGCACAGAACGGAGGTGCCAGCTGCTCTGTTGAGCAAGAACAACCCCCCCCCCACCACCAAACTAGGCCCCTCAGTGAGTGAGCTTGTAAGCACTGTTAAAACCCAACACAAACAGAGACTTGAAAATTCCCTGAGTAGACAAAACCAGGGTAGTCAGACAAGCAAAGCTCAATTTATCTGATTTTGCAAGACAAGTGAGGCTCACTTGACGGGTCGCTTTTCAAGGATGCCTCTGAAAATCATGAGACTTAAATCATTCTCCCGATTTATAGGTGCTTCCCTGGTAGCTCAGCTGGCAAAGAATCTGCCTGCAATGCAGGAGACCCCGATTCGAGTCCTGGGTCAGGAAGATCCACTGGAGAAGGGAACGGCTGCCCACTCCACTATTCTTTGGGCTTCCCTGGTGGCTCAGATGGTGAAGAATCCACATGCAGTGTGAGAGACTTGGGCTCGATCCTGGGTTGGGAAGATCCCCTGGACAAGAGAAAGGCTACCCACTCCAGTAGTCTGGCCTGGAGAATTCAATGGACAGAGGAGCCCGGCAGGCTACAGTCCATGGGGTCGCAAAGAGTCAGACATGACTGAGCAACTTTCACTTTTCACTTTCCCCCATTTACAGGTGGGAACCATGAACCAACTCCCTTTCACCAGAAAATTTTAATATTGTAACCAAGCGCTGTGGGGAATCAACCGTCAGTCCTCCACATTATATAAGCTGCTCTGTAGCAACGACCTCTGAGCCGCGTCGCTTGCGGTTCACAAGGTGTCTTATTGATATGTGTACCATAAACTTTTGGGCTTCCCAAGTAACTCACTGGTAAAGAAATGCTTGCCAATGCAGAAGACGCGGGTTCTATCCCTGGGTTGGGAAGATCCCCTGGAGAAGGAAACGGCAATCCACTGCAGCATTCTTGCCTGAGAAATCCCATGGACAAGGAGGCCTGGTGCACTACAGTCCATGAGGTCACAGCATCTGACACAACTTAGTAGCAGCACCATAAACATATACTATCAGTCATTCACTGGTTTCTGGTTTTTTTTTTTCTCCTGAACTTTGACAGCACTAAACAGCTAAATGGCACACTGAGGATAAATAAGAGATCTGATGCACCGGTCAATGAAAGGAAGTAGCCTTGTCTGGTCTTTAATGAGGAAGAATGGGGATTCTCAAGTGAGGGGCAATTACCGAGGATAATTGATCACTGTACCAAATGCCACACATTTAAAGGAAAAACACACACCCAAACAGGAAGCTTCAAGAAGGGGAACAAAGGCATGAAAAAGAAAGTTAGGTACCAAACATTAAGTCCACTTACACATTTTCAGGAGAGGGAACAGGGAAATAGCTAAATGCTATCTACAAATACGGGACTTTCCTGGTGGCTCAGTGGTAAAGAATCCACCTGCCAATGCAGGAGACACAAGTTCAGTCCCTGAGTTGGGAAAATCCCCTGGAGAAGGAAATGGCAACCCACTCCAGGATTCTTGCCTGGGAAATCCCATGGACAGAGGAGCCTGGCGGGCTACAGCCCATGGGGTTGCAAAAGAGGTATGACTTCACACTAAACAACAACATCCACAAATAGCCAGCAACCTAAGAGAGAAGGAATTTGAGAGGGAAAAAAAGAGACTACCTAGTGAGGAAGAAACAGTAAGGACAGCTTAAATGGCAGGATGCCCTGAGCCTGTGAGAATACCAGGAGAAACATCTTTACTCCTTGGCCCATGTTGAACAGAACCCCTTGTAGATAAACCAGAGCAGAGCACAGTATCCTGAAGGCTGAGGAGCCTGGGAACCAGGTATCTAGAGAGAGATTTACCTCTCAGCTGGAAGGTCTACCAGTCATCCTTGGATTTGATCCTTTCTTACCAATATAGCCTTTCTGTTTGTGAGAGGAGTGAACGGTATGTGTGTGTGTGACAG